TTCTGCCCCCTAGTGACCAGAATTCTGTTAATGCAGCTTTAATGTCCTTTAGTTACATACAATGTGCTTAGAATATTTATTTGCTGTTGACATTTGAGATAATCAAAACTCCTACAGAAATTAAGGATCCACTACTCGGTGTCCTCGAGTGCCCAGAGAGGCGCCTTTAAATAAAATGTATTATTATTATTATTATTATATACTGCACTAATGTTGAGACATTTTAAAAACACTTTGTATTTTGAAGTTGTTTTGTACTTACAATTGTGAATCATCCTCCATTTAAAAGCTACTCAGAACATTTGCCCCTGATCTTGAATCCAATGGATTTATAAAATTTCATCCTACTTATCCTACTTTTTTAGGGATCTGTGTTTCGGTGAGCAATTCTTGTACTTACCAAGCAGACTCGAGGAAACAAAAGCACAGTGAGGGAAGCAAATAATCTCCTGGAAATACTTATCCAGCAGTATATGATAGGATAGGCATTGTTCTTTCTGTTCTGTTTCTTAATTTGAATTTACATCAGTAAAGTTCTTGAGAATACCCACATTTCTTTGAACAGTCTTTGTGTGTTATCTTGAGACTGCATACTCCTTGTGAATGTTCTTGAAGGAGTTGTTTTTTTACCTTGAAAAAGAGGTCTCAGCACTTGTTTCCGTGTTTAAGACCGCTGGTTATGTACTATGTACATGTTCAATGTACACTTTCAAGGTATATAAGGAGCAATTCATGTCATTTAAGCCAGAAACAAAAACATGCTTTCATGCCAGTTGTTTATTACGATGTCTAATATGCATCCTGCTCAGTGTCTCTATCTCCTGCACAATATGTCACAAGGCATAAGGTTTATCAATAACGATAACTGCACTACTCAGGTTTAATTCTGTAATTAAAGACTAATTTGGTGCTTTGTTTTTGCTCTTTGTCTCTCAAATTAGAACTTAATTACACAAGAGCTTTGGTGTGCTTTCCTTCACAGTAAGACTAGAAAATAATTGCAACTGAAATAGTTCGACAGTTTTGGTAAGCAGATAACTTCTGACAGACTGGACTGTTTATTTTAGCCACCTGTCAAATCCAGATGATATTCACAATATGCCCTGAAATCAGATTTCTGTATATTGATCCCTCATGTATTGTATGGATGAGACTGATTGTGTTTTTTTGGGAAATGTGTCTGCTGATGCCCTCTTGGTCTCATCTCCCTAGTTGAATAAAACTGGGATCCAGCTAATATTTTTCCCAGTAAGTCAAATACAAATACTTTGTGTACAAAAACAAACAGGTTTTAATCCAATCCTCCAAAATAAAAAAAAATAAAGCAAACAATTTCCATTTGTTCTCATTTTTTTAGTTTCTATTGCATTTGAATGACCATATTATCCACAGCATAAAGGCATTAATCTACATTTTCAGTTATATTTTTCTATCATTCACGCATGGTATTTCAAACAATAAAGTGCTTTTTAAAATAACCTTCTCTTTAACCAATCTAAAATACACTGAGACAATACCTGTGACCCTCTTTGAGACAGTGGAAATTGTCACATACATGTGCAAGTACACATTTACACACAAATACTCAATCACACACATGAGCAGACAGTAGTTTGACCCTGCAGTTCACATACAGTGTATGCTTAACTCTGTGCTTTATACTGTAAATGGTCTTAATTGTACAGGTGTGTGTGTGTTTGTGTCCACACTGGTAATACATACTTTTTCCATCTTGTTAAGAACAGGTAAGAGAGGTTAATGAGCATACACACACAAACACACGCACGCACATACTCAAACTCACGCCAAGACAGAAAACACACTCAGTTGCATCAAACCCTGTTTAGACCCCTGTCACTGCACAGGTTGCCTCTTGTCTCAAGTGTGAGCCGTGTATTTCAGTCATACTGAGAGCACTACACATCCGTCATGTAAAAAAGCTTCGAGTACATTAGGTGCAGTCTTAAAAACCTGTTTCACACCTCACAACAACTAAAAATTAAAAAAAGAAACGTCCATGCTGGATTATTAAGTGATTTTGTCGCACTAACATTTTGAGGCTGTTGCAAAAGATTTTTTTGTCTTAGCCAGGTACTGTGATAAAGTCCTAGAGTACTTCTTGAACTCTACCTTGTGTGCTATAAAGAGTAAAACTACAGTGTGGAGTCGTCCTCATGCAAGCTTTAAGTTCGGCCCTGTAATGTTTAGGTTTAGTGCTTGAGCCAGGACTAGTGCTGCTGTTGCTTTAGGGCAACTTTCCACTGTATCGTAGGTGACAATCGTTTGATGCCTTGTCAATTTCTTTTCTGTGCCTCTGTCTTTTACACTGACCACACATTGCCCACATCATGAGACAAGGAAACCACATCACAGACAAGGGGATATAAGGAATTTCAGGGACGAAACCATTGATTTCCACACCTTGCGTCTCATTTTCCCCCTCTGTGAATCGACTGATTCGTCATTTACGCTCCTTGTGTTTGAATTTAAAGTTACACCAGAGTAGAGTAAAACAATGATTTCTCAATACATCACAACATCAATGATAACTGAACAGGCAAAACTGCAACAAAATCAAATAAAGGAGTCCATTTTTTTTTTAATTTGTTGTCTTCATACATGATTCAGTGAGACGTCAAAGTTTTCTTCTTTTGCCATGACGCATAATTCTGATCTCACCCTGGTGCACAATCTAGTTCGTTGTGCTCTGTATCTGCCACGTCTTTGATCAGCAGCCCAATCACATTGGCAGGAAAACATCACAGTCCATAATGTGAAATCTGACGGCTGATGCTGTAAAAGTGGCATGGAGCTGCAGAGATGACTGACAGTTTAACGGTGTCTCCCTTTATGATCACGACGCCCATGAACAGTTGAGGAAGGCACATAATACTTTTGGAGTGCTCTCCAGTGATTAGATGAGATTTATGTCCTGCTGTTTTGAGTGACAGGCACTTGAACACCTTTCTGTCCTGTTGCTATGGACACAAAAAAAAAGCATGTTAGTCCCGAACAATATTAAGTTCAAATATGGCAAGAGGTGATCAACAATTTAGGAGAGTGAGTGAAACTGAACTACGGCTGTAAAGAAGCTTACCCAATTTGTACTTCTCTTTAGCTTCAGCTCTCTCTTTGGCATCAAAGTACCAGACTGTGATGGCATAGCTGTAAGACACAAGAAGGACGAAAAGATCTTAATAACTAAGACAAGAGGTAATTTGTTTTGTCAGTATATACCGTATATAGAATGGGTTGTTTTCTAATGAGCATTTAAGCAAAATAGCCTAAGAAAAGTCTACGAAATGGCTGACATAAGGACATTTAGTCCTGACATTTATAACAAAAATAAAGTTTACTTCCAGTTAAATTTGGTCAAATATTTCTTCACATAAATGTCTGTGATAAAGACCGAATTGCCCTAAAAAAATCTCATCAAAAGAGCAAAAATTGGTCTTTGAAATATTTATTTTTGAGGCAACAGATTACAAAAAATGTCTCACATGACTTGTCTTATTTAATGAACAGCTGACTGACAACGAAACTGTCCAGTTTCTAGTCTCTCCTGTGGGACTGTGTTGTTTATTCCTGTCTCTCATGTCTGTGCCTCTGCAGCACGAGTCCTGCAATCGAACCTTCCTCCCCTCTCCCTCCCACCGACCCCCTCAGGAAACACATACTTCCTGCCTCTGACTCCACCTCGCCCCCCAGCAGTCAGATGGAGAGGAGAGGAGAGGAGGAAATGCAGGAGTACAAAGGTTTGTGTCACGTGCCCTCGATGGACACAGTTACGATTTAAACAACAGTTTGAGTGTAAGTGCTTACATGAGTCTGTTTATGTACAAAGTGGGTCTTTCTCATATGAGCATCAAAGAATCTTCAACAGGTTTTTCTGACAAGAAGTTCTTGAGTTGAAATAGAAGAGGCAGAACTCCACACTAAAGCACACACTATATACACATTATATATATAAATATAAACCCTGCATGTTTTAAGAGTTACTAACCGAGTGGCGTAGGCTGGCTTGACTTCGTGTGGGTTCCTGCGGTCAGACCAGAAGATGAGCAGCCGGTCAAACAGGGGTTCGATGCTGGCCACCACATTTTTGCCTTCAGGGTAGATCTGCAGCATCCCTCCTTGTTTCTACAAACACACATACACACAAAGCAAACAACACGGTCAAGTACGGGTTACTTGATGTAAAATTGAACAGTAAAAAAAAAAAAAAATCCAAAGAAGAAATGGCTTTCTGATACCGGAGGCATACTTTAGCTTATGTCTGCATGAGGTGTGTTTTTGTGACTGCACTGGAAAGACATTTTTTTTGTGATGATCCTCATTTACTCTGAGATGTACTCAATGTGTTATCTAAATTAAACTAATATACGTACCTTGACATCCCAGTTCTTGTTGAGATAGTAGATACACGTGATGCAGCGTCCGTCACCGTTGGGGTTGTCAACATGGCGGACGTACCCTGCCCCGTTACCTGGGTAACAGGCAACCATGCCCTGAAACCAGGATAAACTGGAACATTAGAAAAACATTTCATAACAAAAAATGTTGTCCTTTAAAAGTGAATTGTGTCATGGGTTATTTGAAAAGCAGATTAATCAGTAGGAGCAGTATCAGGCTCCAATCAGCATAGATATTTATATACTTCAGCCAGCGCAAGGACATTGCAAAAGACACCTTCTGTGGCTCTACATTTCATCTTCCACTTCCATAATCTGTTTTCCTGGTCCACCATTTGTATACCTAATATAAAATTCCACTATGTAATTTGTGTCACGAGAGGGGAAAGGAGCAGAGAAATGTGTCAGAGTTCAGCTGTTGTTCTCAGCTACAAAATGATCTCCAGATAGAGTATCCATGTTCAAACAATGGCCTCGCGCTGGTATTTCCCCTGCTTGACGTCTATGTGTTGGAGGCTGTGAAGCAGGAGAGCGCCGCTTTCTCTGGGGAGTCCAAGGGAACTGAGACCTGCGTGAGAGCTCTTCAGTCAATGCGCATTCCAGACAGTCACAGGCCCACGTGATTATAAATGTACTGTGCTCAGCCTGTGTCCCTATGACATATCAGTCTGAAACATGCTCATGTTTGAGGCTGGAGTTGTGTAGTTTCCACACTGGCTGTAGCCAACGTTCAGTCTTTTTTACTGCTGTTTCACATGCTGACTGACATCAGCCTATGCTGGCAGAGAGAGATCCTAGATGATGATAGTTGGCAGCGTGTAGAGTAATAACTCTCCAGGCTGTCTTACAAAGGAAGATACTGTCTCTGTCTTGACTTATATTGTTCTGCATGGGAAGAGTTACAATATCAGAGCCACTGCATCACTTCAGCTGAGTTCTTGGACACTATCATTCATGACTAACAGGTTCTGCACTGCTGCAAAATCGACCCAACTTGCCTGACGCTATCATTTAAGCTCTGTGTGAGAGTCTCAACCCAGTGGAAATCAAAAAGCACTTACATAGATTTCTAACACAAACGCACCTGTTCTTGTGTTGTTTGTGAATCTCAAACAATATTGATGGTACGTTTTACGCAGGAGAGCTTCGGTCAGAGAGCAAGCTGCCCTACTCGTCCTCCTCCTCCTCCTCCTCCTCCTCCTCCCTATTGTGGTGTTTCCCTCCTCATTCACAGCCAAGTGAGTTTGGTTGTGTTGTGTATGACTCTGTTCAGCTGCCATTGTCAGCTCTCATTACAGACCAACGCTCTCAGTTGGAGCTCATTAACCTCCAGACCTTTTGCTCCGGGCTCCAACTGACAACTAGACCTGCTGCGTCAAAACGACCATATCAAATGTGCGTAAAGAAAAAAGAAAAATATGTGAATGCACATAATGATCATTAGAAAGATTTATGTCATCCAAATGTGATTTCCAGTAATTAGATCTTGCTACAGCAGATCAGCTGATCATGTTATGAGTGATCTTTTTTGTCTTTGATTAGATTAGAATGATAGTTTCTTTAATTTTGTCATTTGGTTTCTGTACCTCTGTGTGCCTTTTTTAATTTATTTTTTACATCATAGCAACAGTTCAGTTAAAGGTACCCTGTGGAACTTTTGACCACTAGTAGTGCTATGGAGCAAAGTTTTAAAGAGTGGGTCTTGTTTGTATCTTGTGAATGCACAACAAGAACGCACATGCATATGTATGCAGGCAACATGATAGATAGTCCTGACTACAGTTTCACATTATTCCTGACTGACAGTTGGTGGCGGTAACCTGCCAAGAAAGGCAGTAACACACTTATAAAGACAAGAAAAGAAAAGACTGCTAGCAAGTAAACATGAATGTGCAGTAGGTTTCTAATTGTTCCATAAAATTGGCTCTGCAAATGTTTTATGAGAAGAAATATGAATTCAGCGTGATTCCTTCTCCTTAAGGATACGCACAATGAGTTTTGGATCGGTGAATGTAAACATAACTTTGTTTGACAAAAAAAAAACTCTTCAGGGTACCTTCAATTTCAGATGACAAAGAACAAAGGCGTTAGATATCCCATGGCGCCCCTCCTTGCTAACCCTGCAAGATCTCCACAACTTATCACAACAGGAAAAGGTTGTGTAGAGAGTGGTCTGCTTTTAGCACACTGCTGTCAGTGTCAAGTTTACATATGACCTGCTGTTGTAGATCTTGTACCAAACTGATAACACCTGATACTCTGATACTCTGTCTTGTAGGGATGGGTGCCCTTTTTTTGCAGACAATTGGACACTTTCTGTATATATATATATATATATATATGTAATTTGATTGTTTTAACCCTACTACATTCACAAATGTCAATGGTTACAGGGTTTAATTTTCATGACAGCAATGCGTCTGCCAGAGTGAATATTCTGGTGGACAGTTTATCATCTGACTCTTGAATATTGACAATGAACAACTATATAAATCTTTTATGACATTTAAGAAAAATATGCCGTGTTCAAAGGGTGAATTTTCTCTATATTCATACGAGGATGCAAGACATTATTTTGGGTGTGCATGTATTCAAGGAAGTGTGTTTTTTTCAAACTGGTAACAGTCTTAACAACTGTAATTAACCACAATTAACATGTAATATGCCACACCAGACAGCTCAGCCCTAGCCTGCAGCATAAACACATCACACACACAAACACACACACACACACACACACATAAATACACACAATGTCTATATCAAAGACAACACAAGACAGGCATATCATTTAAGAGGAGGGTTATGTTATTTATTCTAAACCAACCCTAGGCATTAAAAAATGTATGTGAATTCATCACACATTCAAACCGGTTTTGCATACATCCACATGGTTTCAATCTCCTTCTGTCAATACACACACACACACACACACACACCGACATACAGTGTGATACTATCTATCCTCCTTCATCTCTGCCGAGATCTGTGCCCACAGTAAAATCTTACCAGCCACCTGTGTGCCAGGCACCAGCATCAGTGGCCTAATGGCATAACTGGGTAGATACCCGGCTGTCAAGGTGATGGCTGGGTATGCAGAACAGGCTGTTCTGGACAAGAACCAAAATAAACTTCACTGCTGCACGCATATTCTGATAAGAGGAATGATGGTGGAGAGAGGGGTGAGGAGGGGAGAGGGGCTAGATAAGCTTGAACAAATACTTCCATAACTGCTTGTCAAGGAGAAAGATTAAGGGGAAGAACATACTGAACAACATATGTATGTTCGTGAGGAGGGTAGTAAGGGTCAGTGGAACCGAGACTTTCTCTATAAACCAATGTTTATAGAGAGAACCAATGTTCTTTTTTATCAATTTAGAGGGGTGCAGCACCTAAGTATGTACAGATTAGAGCCCGACTGATATGGGACTTTTGAGACCGATACCGATTTTAAAGGGGGAAAAGTTTAGTTAACCAATTACCAACATGGCAGCTGATATAATGGATTTTTGAGCTGGAATAATTGTGCACAGATTTTGCACCAAACATTACTTTATTAAAGAGTATTTAAGTGAAATATTCTTTAACATGTTAAATCATTTAACATATACAATGTCAGCCAATTCTAGCTGACACTGGTGAGAGCTGCTTCTTCTCTTACTCTGTGCTGCTTGTCACAGTATTGTACAGTATCATAGAATTTGCAGTGACACCAGTATATTACCATATGCATTTTTTGTCTGCATTATATACTTGAAAAAACTGTTTTCATATGGAATAACATGTATGCAGATACCAATACAATAGCAATATGTCTACAATAGGACAATATTGGCAGATAACACTAGCCTATTGACCCAGTTAATTAAAGGCAATAAAATACCCCCCCAAAAAATTAAAAAACAACAAAAAATAAGAAAAAAAATAAAGAAAAGTGAGTCCTCAAGCTCTTGAGGTGGGAAAACCCTGAGGCCTCATTGGTTATCGGAAAAGCGCATCAAAGTCTGAGAGTCCCTGAGGGTGAATGCTGGGACTGGGCCAGGGTGTTGCTCAAGGACACTGCAGCACAACAGATGTTTGCCATCTCCGGGGCTGTCAAGAAGCACTTCCATCTTGCTTAATTTCCACAACTAATTACTCACAAGCAGGCTAAGTGACACAGGGTATGGTATAAATCAGGATCAGCTGTTAATGGTTTCTACCAGATTGGATATGAGAAAAGTGAAGGAGGTAGTAAGTCTAGGTGAATTAAACTCCCAGCTAATAGCTGTGCTGTCCTTCCTGGCTATGTCAGGGCCCATTATTCAGCAAGATCCAGAATATGAAGGTCATAGGTCAGACTACAAATCTGTAATTGTTTGAGGACATAATAACCAACCCTCTGATCCAGGCTCTTAGAGTTATGGATTTACAGTAACAAGTAACAACATTGTTGGACTGCTTTAAACTTTCAAAGAAAACTGATCTGTGTGTTTGAATGTAAGTGTACTTACTTAGGGTTAGTGTGTGTTTCTGTAATGTCCGTAGGCTGGTAGTGCACAGATATATGACAAAAAAAAGCCTACTTGCAGTTACTTTGCTCCGTTTGCTGTTTTTGGCTGTCACCGTATTTGTAGAAGGCGCTGCTATCTATAGCTTTAATGAGGGGTAGATGGTGGAATTAGAAACATGATCAAATCTTCAACTGTCACCTAGTATTTATATTACAGGGGTTATTTTTTATTTGAACATCAAACAACAGAATGTGGGAAAGTGTGTTCTGTCCGTATGAGTCAGCCCTGCAATGACACCAATGGCATTACTCATTATCACCACTGAAAGCTCAGTGTGTGTGTTTTCTGTGTGTGTGAGTGTATGCATGCAGGCCCCGTAAATGCCTTTTGACATACACCGACAAACAAAACACAATAAAAATTTGACATCTAAAGGAATATAAGCTGACAAGGACAGAACCTTATACTAATTCTTATTTTCATTCTTAATCAATCTGACCAATTCAAATTACTAGTTTTACCTGACTAGCAGTCCAAAACCCAAAGATCACATTTACATAAAACATAAAACAGATCCATTTTCTGTCGATCCACTAATAGCTTCAGCTCTAATGACTTCAAGTACACTTAAACTCACACAATTTCGGATTGTGATAGTGAATGACACCACTGTCTCATACTATCATGCTCAAAGAAGACAGAGGTGCTAAATGTTCATCATAAGGTGGCGCAACCGACAACTGCAACAACTGCTATGAACAGCCTGTATGCTGCTACACTGAGCTTTAAAGTAAGAAGTTAGTACTGCACCAAGGGAATACCACAATAAACACAAATGATGTACTATCTGGAAGCCAAAGTTAAAGGTAATGATGTGACAGTCTTAATGTTTAACACTGGTTCTGTTTACCATCTTAACTATCTGAACAGAGACTGCATTAATACCAAAATGCCATATTTTTCTGTCTATCCATCCATCCATCCATCTAAACAAGCTAGCTAGGTCTGTAGCTGCAATATGTGTGTTAGTGTTTGACTTCTAGCTGCTGCCTGCATGGTGGCACTGCTGAGCTCTAGGAGGGGCATCCGAGGACACGCTGCTGCAGCACACATTCTGATTATGCCGAAGCTTCTGCTGCATCGTCCCTTCTCATTCGCTCAACGCTAGCCTCCCAATCCCTACACTCTCACTTCCAGCCTATCCCCTCCCCCTTCGTGTGTCTCGTTCCCTGCGCTGAATTGTTTCTCTCTTCATCATAAAACAAGACATTCCCACCTTAACCCTCCACTTTATTAAGTGAATTACCATTCCACTGTACGCCCTATAATCCTGCCTACTGATGGTCTAACAGGCAGCAAAGCCTGGCTCCTGCTGACTAACAGGAGTCAGAATACAGAGATATTACACTAGTGCTGGTGAGGGCATTATTTCCGGCATTGCCAGCCCCTTTCCTTCTCTCTCCATCTCTTTCTTACACAATGCAGAGCTCGACTCTGTATGGGCCTGTTACCAAGGTAACGGTTGGGAAATATTTTGTCCAAGTAGTGAAGGGGGTTGATAAGATGAAGGAGAAAGGGGGTGAAGTAAAGGACAGGGGAAAGGAAAAGGTGGTCAGAACAAAAGAGATGTCAGAAAGTGATCACATGAAGGTAGAAATAGTGAACTGCTAGAAATAAAATAAGCTTTTTAGGAGTAACTGTCACTTGACAAAGAGGGCAGAAAAGACGCAGTGACCTTCTATCTGAATGTACTCCTCCCTGATCCTCCTCTTTTCTTTTCCTATCGCTTCCTCTCTCACTCGTGCACTCCATCATTGCATCTACCGCTACGCTGTCTCCTGCACTCCTCTACAGGAACACCCAGCCAGGACATTTTGTACTGTGCAGCACTGAACTTTTTTTTAATGTACCAAGGGCAAACGGAGAGATCTGCCCAGGGAACAGTTGGCGTTCACCCATCTAACATTTTTAGGGAATCACTCAGTTACTCGTCGCTATAACAAAAAAAAAGTTAATAACTTGGTGAGCAACATGTAAACACAACATCCTAACAAGCATCTGGAAGGTATATACAGACATATAAACATAGAATACAGTGTTGTTTAACAAAACTGGCATCTATCAATACAAATGTGCCAACCACAGATTACACTCTTCTAAAATCCTGTTCCCGGGCCCAGCAGATCACTTCTCTTGACTTATCAAACCTCATTTGAGTGCCAATTTAAGTAATACAATGAAAGAAACATGTCTATTAATATATTTTATATTCACTTCATTAAAGTATGCACTAATGAAAAATCAATCAAATGTAGTTGCTGATTTTACCGATTAAATCCACTTTATCATGAAAGGAAGCTGCAGCTCAAAGCAACAAGATATAAAGAGGGTTGAATGCAACTTGGCAGCAGGCAGAATTCCCAATATTATGCAGTGTAAACTGCAGATGTGTAGAGGAACTAAAGTATAAAAGCAATCTTGACAAATTAAACATATATTAGCTCACTCGTTCCATTCTAGTCAGTCAACTTTCCTGTTTTGCTGTCATTTTGTCACAGACAGGGCATGACTTTGACCTGAAAGCTGCTCATATTCAAGAGAGCAAAGGCTGCCAGCGTCTGTTTAAAAGCTACCTCGAGTTTATGTCAATGACTAGACATGCAAAAAGGGCAAAGTGTGACGTGCACAGACAGGGTGAACAAGGTTGGGGGGCAAATGCATTGATAAGGGAGGGGAAAATACTGCCGATGTTTATATCAAACATTAGGATGGATACACAGAAAGACACAAGCTACACATGACTGCTGATGGGACAAATTCTCACGTGTGTTTATTTTAATATAAATAATGGCCACTTTGCTACAAAAATTCTGTATCAATATTTATTAACATTTACTTAACAGTCTGATTTATAGCATAAAGACTGTGGAAGTAAAAATGGAGTTAAAAGTTTGAGACAGTTAAATGTCTGGAAACTGTCAAACTGATCTCTTCTGAAAGTAAAGCATTACAATACTAATATTTAGGTAATATTGACTGAACAATGAGAACATGTTGGGTAACAGTCTAGACTGGCTTGTAATGGTTAACTCACGGCTGATAGGAAAAAAACACAAGTTAAAGAATACACAGAAAGGGACAGACAGACAGGTGGAAAGACAAAAATCTAATCAAGCTACTTAATCTGAGTGTTTTTCACAGTTTTTCCATGTTACAGGGAAAAGCATTAGCTAAGAGAATGAACCAGACTTTAATTAGAAGGGGGTCACTGACATTACCTGGCTCAGATAACCCAGGACTGCGTCACTACAGGAGGAAGAGTGGGGGGGGGGGGNNGGGGGGGGGGGGGGTTCTGCACACAGCCATGGAAACTGTGTGCAAGACAGAGAAAACAACTGCCCGCCGGGCCAACGGTGGACTTTGAAGAGGAATTAAAGTAGTTATAGGCTGTTTAGTCCTTTTGTGATTAGAGCACTTCTTAAGTGGTCCCTGTGGTAACTGTGCATGGCATTTGAAAAATATCATTGGAAAAGAGAAACTGCGGCAAAAAAGAAGAGAAAACATGCAGCTCATGTGGCACGAAATATGACGTGAAAGACAACAGAAAAACACTCGCCAGCACCATGTTTGCATGGGTAAATGCTGTCTTCAAAGGCAGAGATACAGTGATGGCAGAGGAGATACAGCCCCAGGCAAGTTTTTTTTTCTTCTTCTGGGTACCAGTGGTATGAACGCAGGGACAGGGGCAAACATAGGCAGGCCTATACCCAGGCACAGAGCCAGTTTAGGAGGAAGGCTGAGCCCGCAGTCCCCCTTATCAAGCTCACGTGGGCTAGAAACCCTGCAGGGCTCATCCTGACCATCCTACCTAAAGCGCAGCTCGCTCTCCCACTGTGGTGTGAGTGTGTGTGTTTGCGTGCCTGCATGCTGGCAGTAGAGAAGCAGCAGAAGATAGAGCCATGACACAAAATATAATGATGTCATGTAATGACTGGCATACCTATGTCTGCTTTTTCTCTGGTGGATGGAAAACAAACCCCTGCCTGACCCCACCTGCCCCCAACCCTGTACCTCCTCTCACCTTAGTGCGTCCATTGATGACACAGTCCCCCAGCTGTCCATTGGCAGCACTGTGCATGACGGCCTCGTCAATGTGAGCCATCAGCGCCCCGATGCTCTCGCACCCCGGCTCTCGTCCCTCCACCCAGGCGATCTGGTCACCCCGGATGCTCCGAGAGGGAATGCTCTTCTGGCTCACAAGCTGCCCGCCCCGAAATTTACCGCTCTGGTTTAGGACCTCCACCTCCTCCAGGACCCTGTTGCCCAGCTCAGGGCCCAGGAAATTGTCCTTCACACAGATGCCGTAGTATTTCATGCAGGGGACGATGTACTGCCGGGCTATGCGCTCTGCTGACCAGCCGGCCCCTGCAGGAGGCGGCTGGGTTGGGATGCTGTTAGCCTCAGCTGGGGAGTTCTGGCTGGGGGCAGCTGGCGGGCCTGGTGGGGCCACCTTATATCCATTGTGCTGGTTAGTATGAGGGGCACGAGGGGTGAAGGGAGATTGGGGAGTCACACAGTGCACATGATTGATAGTCATTTGGTTGCTCTGAGAACTGTTGACTGTGACCGCGAGCGGGGGGACGGGTCGGGCCACTCTGGAGGCCTCTGGAGATCTGTGAGCAACACTTGCATCAGCCAATCTTCTCCGCTTAGGGTCCAAGTCTCCCGAAGGAAAGACCGGGTCTGCAGAGCTCCCTAACACCTGCGACCCTATCATTAGACCATTAAGAGTTCCTGACCCGGTGTCCCGGTTCTCTCCACCTCTCCTCTTCTGTTGCTGCACCTGTCTGGCCTTCAGGTCACCATTGATCCTCCTCATCACCGAAGGGCACTTCTCATGAGCTGTCCGGTCCCCGTTCTCCACCAGACAGGCTCTGCTGGTGAGGGGGTACATAGGGCTGCCCGTCACCTCCGCCACCCCCTTCCTTTGTGCCGGGTAACCGTTTGGTGTGTGAGCCAAAACTCCCGCATGACTCCCCTCCACGGTGGCAGACGGAGACACCACCCCGCCATTGTAGAGCGGCACGCCGGTTTTGCACTGCTTCGTCGGGGTTGTGATCGCGGGGGAGTCGGTCTGAGAAGCCAGACCCGCGAGTAACTCCGCGGCCGTTCGGCTCCCGAGCGGCGCCGCGCAGAAACCGTTCAGCCCCATGTCCGCTCGGTGAATCTCCGCCGCTCCGCAGACGAGCTGCTGGCCGCTCGTCCCTCTCTCTTGCGAAGGCGAGACAGCGACGGATCCGCGGGAAGAGCTTGGATTTAAAAGGTCCGTGTGTCCCAAGCTCTCCATTTCATCTCGTCATCTGCTGGATGCGCACGTAGCTCACGTCCTCGCTTCATTTTCTAGCTGAGCCACAGCTTTCTCTGATGGAGAGGAGCTTTGCCACGGCCGCTAGAAGTTTCATGTCCGAGTCCTCTTCTGCTCGCTTCTGTTTCGCACATTGTACTCTCATTTAATGCGATTTGTTTGTATCGTTTTTAGGCACATTTTGAGGCTGTGTGGGATATCTGTGGAGAGTAAAAGGATACACTTTAGGCCTATTAATAGCACAGTGCAGATCACTTGTCACAGTGAGCTGAAGTAAGTAAATCTACAGTATTTAGGCCTATATAAATATAGGCTATACATATATATATATACACACACACATACCATAACAGTATTTAAATAGGCTTGCTAAAAATATGTTAATGTAGGGCAACAGTGAACAACAGGGCAGTTGGAGCCTATATAATCATATGCACTACTAAACTGGTCATTAAGACAATTAAATGTAGGCCTACGTAATATTAGGCCACACTATTTATTGCAGCTCATAGTTTTAATCAATAAAAAGGCGGAAAATGCTGAGAAATGAAAGCCGACAAAAAACTAACTTTTACTGACAGTGGCACTGACATTAGAAAGAAATTACAAACCGGTCAGCAAATATTATAACATGTCTGCTGTAAATACTGACTTATACAAGTGGAATTCATATCCGTCTGCCCATTAAAGGACTTTAAATGGGGCATTTCGTTTTTTATCAGCAATTGATGACTAACTTGGCAGCCTTGTGAAAAGGTCCCTCCTTTTCAAAAGAACAAAATGAGCTTAACATCACACCGATTTATTCATTCAGCTGAAACACACATTTCAGAGGCGTAAAATACATTAAACACGCAGCTATACAGTCAAAAGAAGCCAGTAAAAACGTCCCTCCGGCAGACTACAGTCCACTGCTTACCTACGGCAGCCTACAGCAATGCAAATCCACAGTGAGCGTACGTGACAGGCTGAGAGTACGCATGTTATTTCCGGGATTGTCTTGCCCGTGTGTGCGTCCCATCCAATTTTCTTGTCGGTTATAAATAATGTTTGAGCGGCTGACGGCGACCAACGCCGCTCTGACACATCCAGCTCAACGGGAGGACGGAGGGAGATGCTGGGAGCCACACAAGGTCCCCTCAATCACCCCCAAAAAAAGTGCTCTCCGTTGTGTCGGTGTGTGCCCCCACTTTCTTTCTGTCTGTCTCCCCCACCCCCCGCTCCTCCCCCTCCTCCTCCTCTCCCGCAGCCGCTTCCTTTCTCTCTCTCTCTCCACTCCCTCCTGTCAGGCACACAGGCCATGTGACCAATTGCTACTACGGCCGACCTTCAGCTGTACTGTGAGCAACCGCCCTGTTACATTTTAGAAAATGACAGTTTAGATAAGATTGCTTATGTTATTCTACATTAATAACGAGGCCAACTTATAGCTGTTGAATGTTCCAACTAAGTACCAACTACATTTACTCAAGTACTTAAGGACACTGTTGAAGAAGTGAAGCCTAGTTCACTTTCCATGTAATCCAATATTAGTATTTTTACTAAATCAATTCTGATTATTATTATTATTATTATTATTATTATTATTATTAAAAGTAGTGGTAGTAGTAGTAGTAAGCTACACATCAGTATATAAAGTAGCTCAAATGACATTAAAAGGATGTTCACATCAGTCCATCACTAATTATAGTCCAGTCATATTATATTCTGAAATAGACCATTCTGCATAATGAGCTTTTTATTTTTACTTTTGGTACTAGCTTTTGGTAAGTATATTTAAATGCTAATACTTGACTTAAAGGACCAGTGTGTGGGATTTAGTGGCATTTAGAGTTGCAGAGGACTACTAGCTGAACACCACTCACATCTGAATTTGACAACCTGGGAATGAGAACGGGCTGATAAGTTTGTAGGAGAAATTATGTTGTTGTAGGTTGTGAAACACACAAAAGGCCCTATCTACAGCCAGTGTATGGGTTGTCCGTTCTAGGCTACTGTAGCAATGTATAAACTGCATTTTATTGTCCTAATTGATCCAGGCTGGGCCAAGTCCTCTTACGTACTGTTTGGTATATATATAACTCAGTAGGAATTGTAGGCCTATAGCATTTAATGGGAATATTCAAGCAAAGCACAAGTACCTCAAATTTACATTACTTAAGTAAATGTATTTTGTTATATTCCACCACTGTTTGTTTTCTTTAAACTTACAATGTACATATTTTAGACAATGTCAGAGATGGTTTAATTGCTTCTTGAAATGCATGATCTTGTAAAGGTGCTGGTTTTATTGTGTCTATTTATTGTAGATTATTTTGTCCATTTAAAAATACAAACAACCGTCTTTGTTTGTATTCTTAACCTGTTTTATCTATTTGTTTGTTTATTTGTTTAAGTGTAACCAGGGGTAAGGGTCTGGAAATTAGTTTCGATTTAGTTTATTATTTAATTTGTTACATTTCTTTATTTATTACATTTCTATATTATTTATTTCTATGCATCACTGTGTCTGTATGGTATGATCTGTTTATAGTTAAATCAACAAATAAATAAAATAAAATTAAATATACAGACAATCTTATTTATTTTATGTTACAACAGCAAAACATTTTTGGCATTCACTAAATTACAGTATCTCAGTGAATGCCTCACAACTGAAGATACTTCCTCACACTGAAATCCTGTTTATCCAATATTCCCATAAATCTGCCTTGCTCATTGGTTTTCAGCACTGACCATAATGGCTTAAAAAACAGTCATAAAAGGATAACCACCTTGGATCCCTAGCAGTTGAGAAATGTCTATTTTCTGATAATATATATATTTCATATTGCCCTATAGGATGTATTGATTAGATGACAGTGACAGTCTATTATTTTATCAGCATTGGGAGTTTTGATGTTTCTGAACTCATGATGTCAGACCCTCTCTGACCTCAGCACAAACCCTGCGCTTGCTTAACTCTGCATACATTTGACATTATTGTCCACCTATATATTTGTGTAGCAAGAGGAAGTGAGGTAATGTGCTGTTAGAAAGTCAGGCCTGGGGTTAGAGTGCTGGATTAGCGCCTCACCCTGAGGGATTAGGGACAGAGTGTATTGACACAACACTGGCATGCCACATCCATCTGTTGCTTACAGCCCCGTCTCAGCCTATAGGGCCTGGACATCAGCCATGCAGAGTGCTAGGGGGCAGAGTGCTAGGGGGCTAAGCATCAGCAGGTATAGATACAAGTATGTCATTTATGTAAATACATATATAAACACATACAATGGCACATTAATCAAAATGCAGATTGAGAGGTCATCATCATCTGCATAAGCAGTCTCATCTACATACTTGCGGAGTCATTGAACTCAGCCGAGCAAACAACACAGTTGGAAATCAAAATATAATTCTAGGTTTTATTGTTCCATTGAACCATTGTCCCATCTGTGTAGTTGAAAAAGTTGTCTTTTGGTCAAGATTCACATATGCAGAACACAATATATGTACAACTAACACATGAAAATCAGCCACTGAAGTTTTTTTGACATGTAACATTTTGAGTAATGGAATAAATTTTAAAGTTGTTGCACACCATACATTATTAATGGTCCCTTGAAAGTTAACTGAGTAAAGCTAAACTCTAAATGGGTAATGAAATCGCACAGGAAACCATGATTCATCAGACATCAAAAATAGTCACACTGTATAAATACTTGTCTATGTGATGGGTGGTTTGCAAGTGGGCGTCAAAAGTAGGAACAAATATTTTAGCACCAGCGTGAAGTATAACACATTGTTTAGCTGCCAGGAAAAAGGAACCTGTTTGGGAAATCTGTGGTTAGTAGATCATTTGCCACATGATCAGGTAACTTTAAGGAAGGATGCAATCGCCATGCAATTACCAGTGTATAGGTAAAAATGAATTGTATTGCCATTTTCTAGGCAATGGAGCTCATCAGAGACCAGGGTGTGCAGCAGGGTGTGTTTTATTGTTGCTGATATGGAGGTGACACATTTTTATTGGTGTTTATTTGGAAAAGCATGATATGACCAGGAAGATTAGTGTGACTCTGAGGCAGCTTTTCCTTCAGAACACAGTTGGACAAAGGTTGACCCTAATTAAGAGCGAATAAATAAGGAAAGGTAGTGTTGTAAAAGGAAAAAAGGAAATTCTTGCCACCAGTGTTTGGCAGAATGAGCTCTTTTTTAAATCACACTGTCTACACAGTGAGTAAAGCTGACAGGAAATAACACAATCCCTCCAAGGTTTGCCACTGCCAAACAACCAGAGCAGTTAAATATTACTGTAAAAATGATGATTCATTGTTTGGCTTAGACTGTAGTGGAGAATGTATACCACATTCCTGCATTGGTCAAGTGTTTAAACACTGCGTTGGGTAGATTACAGCATACATACTCTAGGTGGTGATTTAATGCACGCATACAAGCACACACATGTGCAAACCATTAGCGTGAGATTTACGCTTGAACAATGTCATTGACTTAAGAGTTATGGTCAGAGAAAACAAAGTAACCTCAAAATAAATCAGGGCTCCCATGTACCAAGAGATCAAAGTGAAGCTGTACCATAATTAAAGGAAAAAACAAGCTTGGAAACACACACCTGCAACATTAAATAACCCCGACAGCTTCCCATCCTGTATCCTGTAGAGTTGGTACATTATGGTGTTTTTCCCTTAAAATAACTTACAATGCACAGTTTATGTAATGAAATATTACACAATTACAGAATTTGGATTAAAAACAGTAAACATGTGCATCAGTGGTGAAGAAAGTATTCAGATCCTTTTCTTAAATAAAAGTAGCATACAAATACCACACTACAAAAAAATCCTGCATTTGAATTAAGTAAGAGTATATAAATATAATTAGGAAAATTGACTTAAAGTACAGTAAAATGTCCCCTGCGACTTTTCGACTTTTATGCTATTATAAGTTATATCATTAGATTATTATTACTCACGCATTAATACAAAAGTAGGATTTTACTGTTGGTTGTAGAAGAGCTCATTAACTATTTTGTATAAGACTACAACTAATGATTCTTTTTTTATTATGAGTTAATCTGCTTATTATTTTTTTCAATTCATTGAATTATTATCTGGTTTGTAAAAATTCTGAAAATGAACACCTTCACAATAATTTGTCAAACCAACAGTCCAAACCTCAGCATTATTAGAAAAATTTATTTAATAAAGGAAAAGCAGCAAATTGTTGTCCTGTGTGCAACATTCAGGAGGCTCTCTTGGCAAGAGGTTTTTTGGTTTTCATAGTGGATTCCCTTCAATGGAGGCCGCCATGTTGAACCACCAAGTTTCTACTTTAGTCCAGAAGGGATAAACCAAACACTGACTCTAGAAAGGAGCTTTCACAATTTTTCGCAGCATTCCCAGCCACAGTAGTTTCTCCTTCATGCTTGGAAGGGGAGCGTAAGGAGAGGCAGTTCAATCTACAATTACACTGCTAGATGCCAATAAATCCTACACGCTGGACCTCTAAATGATGATCAAAATAGTTACTTTTCTGTGAATCGACTTATCGATTGCTTGACTAATCATTTCAGCCGTACTGTATAAACTGTTAAATTGAATAACAAAACAAAACATCATATTTTATGAGCTCTCTCTTATGTTTTCTGTACAAAAAAAATAATTTGTAAAGTAACTAAGGCTGTCAGATAAATGAAGTGCAGTAAACAGTACAATATTTCCCTCTGAAATTGTAAACAGTACCAATATTTCCCTCTGAAATGTAGTAAAGTAAAAAGTAGAGTAAAGCACAAGTACTTCCAATTTGTACTTACTGTAAGCACAGTACTTGAGTACTTAGTTACATTCCAGCACTGCTGTGTATTCATAAAGCTTTTCAAAGTTTTTTGACTTGTTAAGCAGTAGCGTCTCTCCTTTAATTCATGTCAGTAAATCATTTGTCTGCTGACCAGTTGACACTTGCATCCAACACTTGTTTGTCCCAGGGACTGAAAAACAGTGTACTCTTTGCCAAGGTCAGTGCTCCCAACGCAGCTGGCTGGAATCCCCCAGACTGTGTAACACAGACTAGTGCAGCTCTGCACGTATACACATCTCCTCCTCCTCTCTCTATCTCTCTCTTTCCTCTTTTCTGTTGACACCACAGGAATCAAGCAGAGAGGGTAACAAAGAGTTAACATACAGTTGAGGCCTATAAGCAGACTTGCTTACTTTGTGTTTTGCTGTGCTGTGTGTGTGCCAATATGGCTTAAAAACATCCAACAAATCTGCTTTAAATGTATGTTTGTTCATGAAACTGGTATGGTAAACAAAGTGTTTTGATCCAACATGGAATCAACATTTTTGGCGTGTTTTTGTGTTTTCACTGTTTTATAGTGTTATCCTGTGTGTGTGTGTGTGTGTGTGTGTGTGTGTCAAGCCTATACATCCAGGTCATGTATATTTAGACAATTGCAAATGTATGTTTGTACATTTAACATGTGCTGGCAAGAATATGTATAAAATGCCTGCTGCTGCTGGATGCACGACAACACAAATGTCATGCCAGTCAGATGACCACTTTAAAAACAGACAGCAGCACTTGGGTTTCATGGATAATTTGTTTTTTATTTATTTAAGAAGACGTGGGAAGAACGTGACGTCACAGAGGCAGAGAGAGAGAGAGAGAGAGAGAGCAAGGAGAGAGAGACTTGTGTAAAAGGAGGTTGGAAGACGCAGTCACAGGGTTGAGGAAAGCAGAGGTGTGTTTGCAAGCTGTGTGAAAGTAAAAACAAAATAAAGGATGGAGGTTCAAGCCAGTAATGGAATAGCCTCAGAAATCGAGTTGATGTCAAAAAGACGGATTTGCAAATTTCACGGTGGTGAGATTGGAAAAGGTGAGATGGGAATTTGAAGTATAAAAGCTCTGCAAAACAGTTTCACTCATCATCGTCCAGAATCAATAGAGGAAATGAAATAAAGAGCATCATGATGACAAAGCCCAGTCATCCAGACAAGAATGCACAACAATAAAGGGAGAAAGGCAGGAGGAAGAGGGTTTGTTGAGTAAAACTGGGGAAATGAGAGCAAAGGGAAAAGAAAGAGAGAGTGATACGGGTTAGTGAAGTGGTAAGGCAGGGGAATTTGAGGATCAACTGTGCCGCTAGCCTTCCTTAAAATAGCTCACAGAGATATATAGAGGAAATTTCTGTCGGCAGTCAAAATGTCTGAACCAATCTGTCCATGCTGCACTTTATTATAACATCAAAACTGACCCTGAAATACATTTGGTCCATCAAACAGCAGGGGGAAAAATAGGGGCCTTTTAAATTTTTAAAAGTTTTGCAGCTACTGTAACTTCTCCAAAAAGGTTTTGTTTCTGCTCCAAGAGAAGAAGAAGAAAAAGAAGAAGCTGTCTTGTTTCTGCATTAAATATGGCCAATACTATCTGACATGAAAGAATGATTACAGGGGCCCCTGGTACATCAGTACAAAGTCCTTACGTAGTAGCCTGGGTTCGATTCCAACCAGAATCCCTTTGCTGTCATCCTCGCTCTCTCTCTCTCTCTCCCTCTCTCTCCCCACTTTCCTGTCTCCCCCATCAAATAAATGAAAATAAAAGCCTTTATTTGATAGAATAAGATTATTACTGCCATATGTAAAATAGCTTTATTATATAGCCTTATTAAATAGCCCTAAATTCACTTGACAATAAGAAACACAGTGGTTGTGTCTAAACACATTGAACAAAGTCAAGTTATAGCTATTTGGCATGTTTCTATCTTTGGATGCATGTAGCTACACCCTCATTTATTATGTAGAATAACATTAAAAACACACACTGTTTGAAAGGCTGTTTAGGACACAGGTTGAACCTACACTGCCACATGTTCACAGTCAGCATTCTCCTCCTCCCTTCATAGATACACACAGTAACATACACACACCCACAAAGACCTTTACTTTATCAGGAAATTGTCCTGAACAGCATCCTGGGAAGCCTGGACCACACCCAGGGAACCTGTGTGTGTGTGTGTGTGTGTATGTGTGTATTACAGTAATCTTATCACCACACTGTGATAAAAGCAAATACTTTAGACATATTAAAAACAAGAATGAGCACATTCAAAAGGGTTAAAAAGTTTGTTTGGTTTTTTTAGGTTTGGAAGAATAAATATAAAAAGTTAACCAACCCTTATGGTGATATACGATAAAATATATATTTATCTGTTTTTTCATTATTGGTCTAGATTATTATATGTATATATACATATAATTGGTTAAAATTATTATTACATTGTAAATATAAAAAGATATAACTAATTTGAGTAATAATGTTATATTATTAAAAAGCACCTAGAGTACTTTAAAGATATAAATGCAAGAATATGAGTGTGCATTGTTGAAGGTCAATTCTCCTTTCCGGGAGTATACAGTGATTTTACATGTGGCAAATGTCACTGAAAAATAATCAGACCGTTATAAACTGGACCACTTTTATCTGTATGTGTGAGTGCGTGCATGTGTGCGTGTATAATTAGTGTGTGTGCATACAAACATCACTCTCCCATTGTGTTGGGGACAGTAGCGTGAGAGCGACCAGAGGGTCAGCTGCGCATCACATCAAAGATTTGGCCGTCTGTAAAAGACCCCACTGTCAACACACAAACACACACACAACACACACACACACACTCACACACACACACACCTACGCACACAAATACAAACTCCCATCTGAGACCCCTGTGCAGCTCTCTATGCTCCTCACACTGAACAATCAGGTATGACAGGCGTGGTCTTTCTGGGTCCCAGCGGGTGATAAAGACAAAAGACCCTCAGGAAGAGGCTGTCCACTCATCCTCATAGAGGACACACACACAGGCTCACTGGGTGTGCATAAAGGGTTATAGTATTAGTATGAGGGTGTGTATTTTACATAATTTGCAAACAATGATAACTATGTGTGTGTGTGTATGTTTAAGACCTCAAATTTTGCATCCAAATCTCTCTCAAACTCCTAATTATCCCCTTCAAGTTCCTATTAAGATGTTCTCCAAACTGTCACATTGTTTATTCAGCATCTGCTTGTTCCTAATCTACAGAGTGTAATTCTTGTTTTCTTCAAACTGAAATATTATACATGTGTACACTTAAATTTCATTCTAGCCTATTTGCTACCTGTGAAAACTTGGTGAACCAGACTTTACTATAAAAAATATGAAAATACATTACTTTAGTTTAAGAGGTTACAAAAGTAAACATATACACAGCCGGTAGAGTGTGCCCCTTGTACTAGGGCTCTCTCTCTCCTGTCTATCTCAAGTTGTAATAAAGGCATAAAAAAGCCCAATAATAATAATAGAAATATTGAAAGTGAAAGTAAAGAAGTGTAACTTTCTGTAAAGCCATTCCAAAAGCCTTTTTTTAACGTATAACAGCACTGTTTCCTCTATAAAGCCCCTGTACCATATACAGTTATCTCCTCATCTTTATAACAGTATTTATATGACTATTATTTCACTCTAGCAAATATTTATACTGAAGTGGGATAAAGCATGTTCTTTTCTACTAAATGTATCTTCCTAACTTAAGACCCTTTAAAGATGAAAAGCAGGTCTACTTGTTCTCCATTTTATGTTTATATTATTTTATTCGCCTACTTATCTTATTTTTATATTTAACCCTTACTACTCCATCTGTCATAATCTGTTGCCTTTGTGTTTTGTCAGTATTTTTATTTTTTTTGAACATATTTTATTTATGTTATATTGTAATGTTGCAATAAAAGAAATAAATATGAACATGCCACAGCATTGTGCTTTGGCGCCATCGTGCGGCGGAAACATGCAACTGCAGGCGTATATACTTTATCTATAGCTACTTTGATGGCGGATGTCGATGAAAAATGGAAAAGAAAAATCCGTTGTGCTTTAAAATAACCTTAATCGGGCTCTCCTATAACCCCGGCCGCTGCCTTTATTGATCGTCAGTCGCATGATGGCGCTGTATTAATTCTGCTCACCTTTTTCACGACACCGCGCATGGCTTTACGGGAGAGTCTTCCGGGCTGTCGTTGACCAGGTGGGAGTTCACAGGGCATGCGGAGGTCGTGTTGTGCTTTTGTTTTTGTTTTTTTTAATTTTTTTTTGCTTTTGAGCTCGTATTTTTGTAGCTAGCTGGGACTCGTGATGTGATGGCCTTCCTGAGTTTGTTCATGAGAAGGCAGCTGACGCCGGCCGTGTCCCACTTCGTCCGGACAGTGAAGCTGGTCCGGCCTCCGTGCGCCCGAGCCCCGCTCAGGAGGCTGCACGGCTCCGCACGGCTGCGGCTCGGAGAGAAGGGACCGTGGGGGAAGAGCCGGGCGCCCGAGCAGCAGTACCAGCTCACAGACCTCGACAAGGCGGATGCTTTGGTAGGTTCGGCCCGGGAGGAAAATGCTGTATGTTCATGGAGTTCTTGTTACTGCAACAGACTGACATCTTTTTGCTTTTGCTTTCGTTTGTCATTTCCTCTTGAGATAAATAGTCATTGTACATCCACAATGTATACATTTCTATAATAAATATACGATATCGGTTAAATTAGAGGTTATGCTCCTAATAGCTGTCTTCTCTTTATTTTCCAGATGCTGAGAAAGTCCCACGAAACAGGTAAAAGGACTAAATGTATGCTGGAAATGTTTTGTCTTCTATTTAACCCTCAGCCTCACATTTGAAAGTTGTTATTTATCCAGCAGTTGCCTTGTAGGGCCCTTCTGAGCTGAAACAGTGTGTTGCCTTTGTGGACACATCCCAGTTAGTGATAGGTTGAGGTTAGTTTATGGTCTCCCACAGGAGAAGAAACAAATCTTGCCTTAAGGGAATCACTGCATCGAAACCAAATATTACAATAAAAACACTTTAAATAAGAGCCCATGTGCAAACATTGCTCTAAGGCCTAAGATAAAACAACCAAGCAAATTTGTTGGCTGCACAATGTGGTACAAAACAAATTACATTGTGATTATTTTAACAAATACTGCGATAGTGATATTTGTGGGAATATCACAATTTTAAGTTTCACTGAACTCCCCCCCCCCTCCAAAAAAAAAAGAAAACCTGTCAAAATTGTGACAATGTGACAATTGTTGAACAAACAAAACAAAAATGTTTTCTTACAGATTTGTAGGCCAGGGAA